TGGGTGTGTCAGAGGCGGTGCGGTTGGCGCAGGATAGAGCAGGGTTTAGGGCTGTTGTGCATAGGGTCGCTATGAGTCGGAAACGACTCGACAGCACATAACAACAACAACAACAATAGATCCCTCCATGCTTATTTGTCCTTGGACAACAGCTAAAGAAGAACGTGACATCAGGATAGGAGGAAAACTAATCAACAATCTGAATTAAACAGTTGGTACAATCTTGTTTGCTGAAAGTGAAGAGGACTTGAGGTATTTTCTGCATAAGCTTGAAGATTACAGCCTTCAGTATGGATTATAGCTCAACATCAAGAAAACAACAATCATCACTACTGGGCCAACTGGCAATATAACGCTAGATGGAGAAAGACTGAAATTGTCGATGATTTAATCTTTCTTCATTTATGATCAACATCCTTAATACCAGCAGTCAGAAGATCAGGAGATGTATAATATTGGGAAAGTCCTGAAGAGCAATGATATCAGTTTAAAGACTAAGATGCACTTGACTTTGTCCATTGTCTTTCTAGTCACCTGCTGTGTGCCTGAGAACTGGACAGTGAATGAAGATGACAGAATAAGAATTGATGCCACTGGTACAACCACTCTGGAAAGCAGTTTGGCACTTCCTTAGAAATGGTGAACACAACAATTCCATATGACTCAGCTATTCCACTCCTTGGAATATATGCCCTGAGAGAATGAGAACTGAGGCATAAACAGAGATTTGTACACCATTGTTCATAGCAGCATTATTCACCATTGCAAGAACATGGAAAACAGCCCAAATGTCCAACCACAAGTGGATAGATTAAGAAATTATGGTACATTTACACGTTGGAATACTATGCAGCACACAGGAGCAATGATTTTATAAATTACTACCTAACTTTGAAGGGATTGTGGAACATTATGCTAAGTGAGCTAACTCAATCCCATAAGGACAAAAATTGTATAAGACCATTATTGTAGAATGAGTATGATGATCCAAGTGGGGGGGAAGGGGGAAAGAGGGGTAAGAACGATCAAGGGGGTGTTAATCATAGGGTCTCACAATTTGATGAGTGGAGGGAGAGGGAGTGAAGAAAATGGGAAATATATGTTGTGAAAAACAATGTATAGAAATACATTTTTATATATATTTGTATATAAATACGTTTGTAAATAAATAAGTATAAAATAAAAATTAAAACAAA